TGAATTTAATTACATGATTTTTAACAACATTTTACACTTTTAAAACTGCTTTCAATCTCTAATTGATATTTTATACAAATTTATTTAGTTTTATAATGCTATTATTGACAAACAACGGTATGTGCCTTATGTGTGTGTGTGTGTGTGTTTTTCTTGTACATATTTGTTATGCCTGAAAGTTTTTATTCAGCCAAGTGTGGAAATGTAAAAATGCGTCGATTTTTAGCGCTTATCCCCCCAATTTACTCTCCCCTTACGTTGCGTTACGTTACGTTCTGTTACGTTCTGTTACGTTTTGCTCGTTCGTTAGTTGGCTGATTGATTTGATTGATTGACTGGTTGATTGGTTGGTTGGTTGGTCCAGCAAGGATTCAAATAAAGCATAAACAAAAATTGAAAAAAGAAAACGGAAGCGGCAAAGATAAACCCCCATGTTGTCCCTCCTTTTTTAATCGACTGTTTTTCTCTCTGTCGTCCTTTGTACATACTTATATATACATACATATATCTTACTTTATTTTTTTGTTTGTTTTTTTTTAACACCCCAACAACAGATGAGATGAGGAAACAGTGTTTTTCGTTGATTTTAATGATCAGTTTTCCTGTCTACACATATTTTGTCGATCTGATAATCTGCTGATCTGCTCCTGTACCCTGTCCCTCGATTATAAAGCATGCCGTTCATCGATTTTTAGCTGTAATTGTAAATACTTTTTGTGCATGAGTTTTTTATACATTCATAACTACACAGACGCAAAATGTACGTTAAAACGGCATACAAATGAACTTAAAATTGAGCTTGAATAGCAAATTATATTTGCATTCAAATTGTAAATGTTTTGTATGCATTTATTTCAAATTGCTTACTTTAAGCTCGAGCCGTTCGATTTTTCTTTGTGTATTGCAAAACCAAGTACATGAATACACCCATGGACAGCAGAAGCACCACCACCACCACCGCCACAGTCATGTCCACACCATTAACGACGATTTCTGATTGTTTCTTTGTGTGATTTTCGTAACGCGTTTTCCTTTCGTGAGGAATACCAAACCGCAGACACTGGGAAAAAAATGAAGCCCGTGTGTGTGGCAGCTTTTGTTTTTGAATTTTGTGTAGTAGCTGATATCATATAACAAACGAAAACAAACCAATTTTTGTGCTGTTTTTCGACCCGTTGCAGTAGTGTATAATTTTGTTGCCTGCCTGGAGATACAAAACATATGTAGTTTTTAATAACCCAATAGAAATGTTGATTACCCAAAACAGATTGATATTTTTTGTGTAATTGATTTTGTGCATGCCCCAAAACTAATCAATGTAATTTGTTTGCTTCTCTTTTTTCTTCCACCTGCTGCAAAAAAACCAAAAAAAAAATGAAAACGAAACGAATCCAAAACCGCATCCCTAAAAAACTCTATTCACACAGCAGCCCAGCACAAGAGCTCCTCCTCCAGCGAACAGCGAACGGAAACCAAGTCCAAGGATGGCGGTGCCACTGTGACCACAACGACAACAAAGGGTGAGTTCAATGGATGCGGTATCTGTGACATGGATTGACCATTTCCGTTTCCACATTTTCGCAGTTACCACACGCACTGTCAGCGGAAGTGCTGCCGCCAAAAACATCTCACCCTTGGCTAAATTCAAACAGCTGGACAAACAGGCAGCCGCCCAGCAGGCGCAAAAGTAAGTCAATCAGCCCCCACCTCCACCCCCACTGATTAGTCAGATTATTCCATATACATATACATACATATATCGACACACATGTGGTAGCGAGGGCATGAATACTATACACACAAGTCAACATTTGTGCAGGTCACTTGTTCGATTCGAAAGTTATTGGAGAAGCAAGCAGTGCAAGCAATTCAAGAAGTAATCACCTATAACTCTATACATAGGTCTTAAAAAATCATCAAAATGTTCACTCTATTTTTATAGTGCATTCTATTAAAGTATGATTGCTTCTCCTAAATTTTCTTGTACTCACTCAAATAATTCAATTGGTTGTCGGAGGACATCACACACTTACACAATCAATAGATACAAAACAAGCACAATCTTCACCTGCACCTAACACACATATACATATACGATTTCTGGTGTTGGTTCTCTATGGAAGTGTGTCGTAGTATTGTCTACCCCTACAAAAACAAAAAAAAAAAGATCTAGGGAGGAGAAAAGTGATTTCGCTATTGTACATAGACCAAACCAACTGTATTCCTGTTTTTTAGTTAGCCTTTGGAAACTGGACTTGATCTACCCTCTTTTATTCTCTTTTACTCCCGACTATCTCTATTACTATATGTTTTTATTGTTTTGTTTCGGCAATTAAAGAATGCCGCCCAAAACCCAAAACCAAATTTAAAGTTTCCGTTGTCAGTAAACCAAAAACATCGCGTTAGTTGTTCTATTGCCAAGTATTTTTGGTATTCAAATAATTGTTGTTGTTGTTTCTTGCTAACACAAAGAATATATTTATATATATATACACACACATACACATGTACACAAAATTACAAAAAAAAAAACACTTAACACATTTGAACTAAAAAATCAAACAAAGAACACACGAAGCAAATAAATTGCAAAATCAGAAATTAAGAACAACATGAAGATGAACCGATTTTGTGTGAGTTTCGCTAAACCGTCTGCAATCCTCCAACCTTGACTCATTTGTTCAGATCATCTCCAACAACAAGCACACCCACGACCCCCGGCGGTTCGGCACAACCGTTGTTCAAATTTACCGATCCGGCATTAAATGCGCGCGCCGCCACTGTCAAGGATCAACTTCTGCAGTGGTGTAAGCATAAAACGCAGGAATATGAGGTATCCAAAACCTAAACCAAACCAAAAAAAAAAAACCTAAGTCCAAGCAAGCCCTAAAAGAATGAATGAAATGCCGAAGCCACAGCCTATATTTGTTGCCCTTGCCATTCTTCGTTAATTATTTATAGCAGCTGAGGTCACAATTGTGCTGAAAAAGTCAAGAAAAAAAGAAGAAGAAAAACGCAATCAAAAACTACATGATTTAAGTTATGTTTATCGAAATAGAGTTTCTCAAACAATTATTATTATTGCTATCGTTTTTACCGTTCCTAAAGCTATCGTTTTTATCGTTGGTATTTCTGAACATTCTTAAAAACATGCAATAAAAATGTACATGACTAATTTTGACCTCAACAGCCAAAAAGCCTAGTTTATAGAATCTTTTCTTGAGTTTGCCGTTCGTTTTGATGATATTATTTTAGTTTTGCCTTATTTAACAAGCAATCTAACGAAAAACCAAGAACAATCCAAGCAACAAACAAAATAAACTAAAGCAAAAACATCTAACAGCGCCTAACTTCGGCTGAGCCTGAAAGCTTTCTCCAAAACTCATTCACACAGACACATACACACACGCTCACACTTGCACACGAACACAACGCACGAAAATGATGTAGGAAATAGAAAAATTGTCATTTCCGTTTCCGTTTTACTGCTTTTTGCTGCCGATTTTTATCGATCACCGCTTACCGTTCTTTTCGGCCATTTCGCTTAATCGCTAGAGTTATCGCCGCTGTTGTTGTTATTGTTTCGATTTAGTTGACCCTAGTTATACCCACTTACCAGCTGCTTAGTTAGTCTTAGTTAGTAATGGAGGCTGGAATCTCAAACTAAATGCTTCTTGCTTTTGCTCAAGGGCCATAATAAAAAAAAATCAAGTATCAATCAACCATCTCAAAAAGAATGCGCTCGTTTATTACCGATCACTGCCGATCATCGTTAAACACAAAACTGTATGTGTGTTGTTTCGCAGAACGTCCAAATAAACAACTTTAGCTCGAGCTGGTCAGACGGCCTGGCCTTTTGTGCGCTGATACACCATTTCTTGCCAGATGCATTTGATTACACCACACTAACCAAGCAGACACGACGACACAACTTTGAGCTGGCCTTCAGCGTTGCTGAGTAAGTATACGCACTGTGGCACCGCGGGGTGCCCTCAAATGTATGCTATATATTTGTTATCTAATATTGGTAAATACTTGACAGTGAGAAGGCTGGCATTGCACCACTGCTGGATGTGGAGGACATGGTGGAGATGAGTCGTCCTGACTGGAAGTGCGTGTTCGTCTACGTGCAGAGCATATATCGCCGATTCCGGAATTGTCAGTGAGTAAAGCAACCATCCATCGAAACAGCGGCAGCAGCAGCAGCAACAACAGCAGCAGTAGCAGAACAGTCCAAATCCAGATCCAAATTCAAGTCAACTCAGCTCAACAGCAGAAACTCATTAAATTTTAAGCATACACCATAAACACACCCACACAACACACACACATCCCCTTTGGCATTTTGTGTTTAGACACACCCCATGTACCACCCCCATAAACCATTATAAACCATAATAATCTATATAGTCCTACGCCTATGTGGCAACCTCTCATGAATCCGTCATCCTGCAAATATCTAATTGTATAATCGGCATATATGTATTGTATATTCTTCAACTGAAGCGCAAATGGCTCGTCGAACGTGAACAGCCGACTCTTTGTACGTTTTTTGTGTTTGTTTTACCCTTTTTTTACTATTATTACGATTACGCATTATTATTTGTTATCGAACTTGAAGCAGAATCTATGCAAATAATTGTTGAATTATATATTTTTTTGTCATAATTTTAATTGCGGAGAGAGAAGATGCAGAGCAGTTACTAACCCTGCCGGCGGTCATCGACACTGGATTTAGTACATAAGATACGTCCCGATGCCGTCGCTCACATTGATGAACTACTGTAATAATACACATATATTCTATGTACGTACGTGTAACGAGATCGAAACATTTACTAACTAACCGAAGGCGATGAAATGGCCGCAAAGAAATACAAAAAAAAATGCAAATGAAACCCAAGCTAAATGTGTTTTATGTAATTGGATCAAAGGGTCTGGATAAAACATACATACATATTAGTACTTAAAAAAGAAATCAAGCAACTGGAAATGCTATATAGTATGCCGTTTGTTTCTCGGCAACAAGTTACGGATGTGGGGTGTGCTCAGAAACTCGGTAAAAGTCGAACGTTCAAGTTGTATGTAAGATGTTGCAGAAAAATTCTGTGTAAGAATTTGTTTTTCAAAATTTGGTTTTGTAACGCACACAGGCAGACACGCGCCTCTACCGCCAGCAGTACTCACGATAATTGCAAGCAGTTCAGGCGCAACAATATATACGTTGCATTCACGCAACAACATCTGTGTAACCGAGCAACATGTCGCATCATCAACACGTTCTTTCCGAGGCCACTGCCCTCTGTCTGATAAACGGTTTGGATGCCTCCGGCGGTGCCACCGGCGGTGCCACGCCCCTCAGCGCTCAACAGCCCCCCGCTGGGACAGGGGAAGTCATCTGCTCGCCGGAAATCGTGGCATCGGCTCATCGAATGGCTAGTGCCACACCCACCGCCTCCATGGCCGCGCTGGAAATATCGTCAGCGCGGCAGAGGATGATGCCACAGATAACGCGAAGTCCATTGGAGGAGAGCCTCCATTCGGCGAACGAGAATGGCAACTCGTGCCGCATCTGCCGCTGGAATCGCAGCGACATGGAGATCATCAAGTGTCCGTGCAACTGCAAGGGCACCGTGGTAAGTGGTTCCTTATCAGCACCTGCTGCTACCGCTGACAAGGATTTACGGTTCGTGGGTATCCTCTTCCGTTTGCCGACACCAGTTTTTTCGCCCTCCTCATTTAGTGCAGCATTGTTAGCTTTCGCGCTTTTAAGGGGCATCCATTAGAACTGTTGCCCTTGGTCTTCATATGGGTTTGTCTCCTTTTGCAGGGCTACATCCATCTGAAGTGCTTGAAGCGCTGTATTATGCACAGGCGGGATAATCGCTGTGAGATCTGCAATGCAGTTTTTGACATCACGGAGGAGCGGGTCAGTCTGAAGCAGATGATCCGAACCTTCTTCTGCGGCCGTTGTTGCGGGCTCCTTGTGAAGAATCTGCTATTTAGCGCATCGCTAATGCCACTGGCCCATATCATTTTGCAGCAGGTGAGTTTCAACTGAGCAGATTCGCTGGCCTTGTTTAGAGTTAACAACTTGATCACCAGGTCCTGCAGTGCATGGATAATCTGAATCAGGGCAGCACCGAGCAGCTTACCGTCCAGGAGGTGTTCGTCGCCTCCTGCGCCCTGCTGACCTCCAGTGCACTGTTCTTCCACTTCTTCGAGTTCGTCACCACACGGTTCCTGCTCATCCGGAACATTCTGCGCCACTGGTGGATGTTTGGCACCACCTCCGACTTTGCCCTGGTGGAGTTCGAGGATGACACTATTGATTTTTTTGATGATTAGTTGATGATTTCGCGATGACTCGATGGCGATCGATTTGGCGATCATAAGGGCTGAAATAACCAGCATGATGATGGGAAGGCAGAGCCATCGTAGATAGTTCCACCAAGAACCAGCTTTATTAAATTAAATAATTTATTTCATTATTTTTTCGACTTTCATTGTGCAGACTTTTTAAACAAAGCTGCTGGGAACCGCCAAAATATTTGCATGAATTTCAGTATTATTTCGCACATGGTATATTTTCCGAATTGCGAGTACTAAGTGTACACACTTATGTATAATCCAGAATCAAATTTTATTTTCAATTGAATGTGATATTTATAAGCACAGTTAATAGATATTTATTAGACTTTTGTGGAATATATGGTAACACTGCGATAAGACAGCAACCTATCGGTCGGTCCGTAGTGGTTGCTATCGATAGGACCAGCTGTTTGCCACCACTAGTTCCATCCAATCGACACACGAAAATAAAGAAAAAGTGCTGCAGAAACAATACAATCTCCAGCACATAAGCCGTGGGCCACCATACCGACTTTAGCCGACGGGCCATTAGACAATTAGATGTATTCCGATTCCGAATTGTGTAAGTGCTAGAGAATTCTCAATCGTGCGAAGGCAAAACAAACGCAGTAGCTGCAAAGCATAGCAAGAGCAAAAACGTAGCAGCGGAAAGCAAAAGCAAAGCAGCACGCGGGCAGCGACGCTGGCAGAGAAAGGAAAACCGAAAAGCAACAACAGCTAACAGAAACCAGAAAACCGAAGAACGCCTTAAAAGAAAGTGAAGTGAAGTGCGAGACACTCGAAAAAACCAGATCTTATTGTGGACCTCTTCTGCTCTTGCATCTTCACGCCGTGCTTTTGTTTTTGTTTGCCTCTTTTCTTTGTCTTATTCGCCTAACTATTTTTTTTGTTTTTGTGTTTGTTTTTTTCCGATTGTTTTTGGTTTTCTGTAATCGCGGCACGTGTGCGAATGCATTTCCCACAAATATCGACAAATCGAAACTTGTTGCAGAGTGCCACGCCTCCTGCGAGTCCCCTGCCCCCCACAGTTTAGCATCGCTGCAAACGAAAAACAGCGATAGCATCGAAATAAATAAGCAAGGCAATAGAGCAAACAGCAAATTAGCGAGATGGCTGGCCAACAACTCGCAGTCCTGGTTCCCAATCCAAATCCCAACTCTCCAAAGGCCCTATACGACCTGTCGCTGCAGGCCCTCATCGGGAGCATGAGCACCAAGATTCCGGCGCTGGACAGGATCAACCGACTGGCGGAGCTGCCACGCAACCTGCTCATCGATGTCTACGAAATGGTAAGTGGGCACCCTTTCTCTACTTCCACTTGGGATTCCTACTTAAATCCTACCTTGAATTCCTACTTAGGATCCCTAAATTTCAATACCTTATACATAACTTGCCTAGTTAGATCTTATCTGAAAACCCCATACGCAGATATGTACATATGTATTTCGCCACTGGCAATTATACCCATTATCAGCGATGGGGGGTATGGGCACTTGTCTGTTTGTGTTTGTTTGCTTTTCCGCTTAAATTGTTTACACCCCGCCAGTACGCCCATTAACCCTTGGCAGCAAGGCCTTCGCGTAGATGGACTGCGAAAATTGTAGATTAACACTCAATCCCACTCCCACTCAATGCATTCAGATTTTGTTGACACTTTCTGATTGGCACTGATTTAATTGTAAATTTTACTATAAGCGATCGTTGATCGTTTTCTGTACAAGTATATATGTACGTAACAGCATACAGTAACGTAAAGGGCAGACTGCTGATAAAGTTCACCATCGATTGAAACACCATTGTTTATTTTGACTTATACTGATCGACAGATTGAATACGACCTTCAATTATCGGAATTCAGTGTTTGTAATGAGTTTACTTAGTAATCCAGGGATAAACTTGGTAACTCGATGTACCTGGCGGTGCATACCTTCGTATGGATTCGGTTCGGAAGAAGGCAACCCAAGTCGACAGACCCACAGGTGGTTGCGGATCTAAAAGGCTGGGCAGTGCGCCAGGCCAGCGTGAGGTTTCGATTCCATACATGGATTGTCATAATATGTGGCAATTACTGTGTAAATTATAAACTGAAGCGACATTGATGGCGGGGGCTCTATAAATAAACCAACCAGTTGGATGGGTCCAGCGCCCTTTGACTGTCTTGTTTGGAAATGGTGGGCCTCGTTCTGGGATTGGGATTGGGATTGGGATGGGGGATGCAGCGATGCATAGACCTTGCTTATATGGCGCAGCTGCAATGGCTGAAGAGCCATTGAACTTGCTGATAATGGCTTAGCAAATTCCATTGTCCGCTGATTGGATGTATTTCTTTTATTTTCTTCGAATTGGTTTACTTCTTATTTGCGACTTTACTACTGAAAACGTAAGTTGTAGTTTTGAACTAGGATATATGTACATATACATACATACATATATAAATAACTCAATTGTTACCCATTTTTAGCCCATATTTAAGTGTTTTGTAACTAACCTACTGACCTATTTTGGCGTCTTTACTACTGCTTATCCCAATGGGCCCAACCACTCAAATACCTAATTACCATTCCCTGTTCCATCATCCACAGATGTCGCAGCAGGAGTCCTTGAAGGACACGCTACTGGAGGAGCTGGCCCAGCTAGAGGTGTTCTCTCGACTCGTTCGATACCCAGCTGCTCGCAGTCAGTTGCTGCGCATAATGGCCTCACTAATGGCCAGCAAGAAGATGCTGGCCAGGAGACTCAGCGAGAACTATGTATCGCGCTATGAGGTTGCCGGTCAGGAGGAAGAGGAGCTGGAAGCGGAAGCGGAAGCGTTGGACTCGCACAAAGAGACGAATACGGATAAACTGGCGGAGGATCGATCAATGGACCTTAGCAAACTATATATCTACGACGGAGAGGCCTCAGAAGCGGGCGGCACCAGTGATTTTTCTGCCGAACTTAGTGGTGATATACTGAGCATACTAGGTCTCCCACGCGAGAAAGAAACCCCGGTTGAACTCAATGTGATCAACAATTGTGACCTCGAGGAGCTGCCCGCCGTAGAGATACAGGCCATCGACCTGGGCCTGCGCCTCGGATCGTTTCTCTCCGAGGCTGGATGGATGCAGGAGAGCATAACCGTGCTGGCATGCCTTAATGGAAGACTGAAGGGCCTGCCGACCCACAAACACTGGTTGGAGTTGCGACTCGACTGCCTGCAGCGGTAATATATATATGTTTTCATTAAATCTTTTATCAATTTGTAATCAAATCAAAACCTAGTTCCAGTATTAAGAGTCCATCCTTGATGAATTAGAAACGAACTAATCAAACATATCTCCTCTGAATAGCCTTCTATATGCAGAATCGGCCCATTGCAACTTTAAGTTGGCGCAGCGCACCTACGTGGAATTGATCGGTCTAAACAAATGGCTCAATAGGAACGTGCCAACCCAGCTGGTAGCCATAGCCTACACTCAGATTTCGGCCATGTACTTTGCCCGCAATGAGTACAACTACAGTCATATGTGGAGCGGTCTCGCCATGCGATTTCTAAGGGCATCTGCGAATCCACGGTAAGTTGTGTTCCCATTCCCATTAGCCTGGTATGGTTGGCTCATATTTCTATTAAATCCCCGACAGCATAACCATCGATGTTCTGCGCCAGGCGGCTAAGGCCTGTGTCGTTAAGCGGGACTTTGCCCGGGCCAATCTGCTCATCTGCCAGGCGGTGCGACGCGCACGGTAAGCAAAATCATACCGTGGATTCCACAACATTTTGCCCATCTCTTTCTTTTCGGTGATAATCTGGCAAACAAAAAAAAACAAACCAAATTGTCAAACTATCGTTGTTTAATAACGAACTTATTATCCACAATATATCCAGATTATAATTAAAACTCATTCGACAACTTTTTCCCCCACAGCGAGCACTTTGGCCCAAAGCACCAGAAGTACGGCGATGCCCTGCTGGACTACGGATTTTTCCTACTCAACGTGGACTCTGTGTTCCAGTCTGTAAATGTGTATAAAGAGGCACTGGCCGTGCGCCGTGGTATTTTTGGCAATATGAACTTTCACGTGGCCATTGCCCACGAGGATTTGTCGTATGCCTACTACGTTCACGAGTACAGCACCGGTGACTTTAGCTGTGCTCAGGATCACGTAGACAAGGCTGTGAATATCATGAAGCGTCTTGTGCCCAGCAATCACTTAATGTTGGCCTCGGCGAAGCGTGTAAAGGCACTCCTGCTGGAGGAGATTGCGCTGGACAAGATGGCTGATGGCATGGACGAGGAGGATCTGCTGCTCCAGTCTGAGGAGCTGCACAATTTCGCCCTGCTCCTCTCGCTCCAAGTGTTCGGCGAGGTGAATGTGCAGACGGCGAAGCACTATGGAAATCTGGGGCGTTTATACCAAACAATGAATCGCTTCGAGGAGGCGGAACGAATGCACCAAAAGGCGATCAAAATCAAGACAGATCTGCTTGGCGCATTTGACTACGAGGTGGGCCTGTCTATTGGACATTTGGCTTCGCTGTATAACTACCAGATGAAGAAATACCGTGATGCCGAACAGCTTTATCTGCGCAGCATTGACATAAGTATATATACTGATAGGAAAACTATTCGTTGTTAAATGTTACATTAATTTGCATTTTTATTGCAGGCTTGCGTCTGTTTGGTCACTCGTACTCTGGCCTGGAGTACGATTACCTGGGTCTTTGCCACGTCTACGAGACATTGCATGACTTTGAGAAGTATTTGAAATATGCGCACAAGCTGGAGAACTGGCAGATGCTGCGTGGCCAAAACCTCACTCAAAATGTAGGTGTTCTTGCATAGTTATATAATTTACATACGGATTGACCGATTTACTTGCAGAAGTCCAGCTATCCCGCCATCGAAGTGGACTATTCTATCGAGGAGGTCAAGAGCAAGTTCTTCAGCATGTGCGTCTGCAAAACCCCCCCAAGCCGCTCGGAGATAGTGGAGTCCACGACGAGCTCGAACTGAGCAGGGGCTTTGGGAGTGGGAGCGGAATTGGAATTGGAAGTGGTGACGGACGACAATGAGGAAGTTACAGTTGCACCCGCACTAGCAATCGCAATCGCACCCACACCCCAGACATCGGATGGCACAAACTGGAGGGCAAACTGCAGCAGCAGTTGTGACAGCGGCGGCAACATCTGTAGTTTGTCTTAGAAAAGAGATTCGCATAAGTTCGCCCACGTTGATTAGACAGAAAGTAAGGAGGCATCAAGGATCGACCCGTGTGTTCTATAAGAATATCTAAGTATATTTAATATCCTATCTTGGTCGGCCTTTAATATTCAACCACGCTTTGTTAAGGGTTTTTTTTGCCATTTCCATCGAATAAGTCCCGTAGTTATACCCATGCTGTACGTATTATTTCGTACCGCGAGTGGGTCAGTTCAGCAAATGTTTCACTGTGTTCCAGTCATCATCGAATACGTCCAGTACCCCTAGTTCCCAAAGTTTTCAAGGATGCTCAGTCCTGTTTTTTCAGTCAGATAGACCTAGGCTAAGATGTAGTAGTATTGTTGGAGCTTCGGTTAACCGTTTAATCGGGAGATCGTTGAGCAAATAGTTTTTTAATGTATTCCCCGCGTTTTGTTCCATGTACAAATGTTAAAGTTTTTATGGATTTTCGCATCTAATAATTCTACTTTTGTATTTTTTGTTTGGAAACCAAAAGAAAGGGCCAGTCGTCGGAGGATAACCATTGCTTTTGTTTTGCTTTCTTGAGAGTAGCAAGTGTATTCAATTTGTAATTTTCCCCTATATAAGATTTAAAGTTGTATAGAGCGCAAGGAGTAAGCCCATTGTATAGTCTAGGCTTACTCCAAACGATATGATAGATGTATATTTCATTGCGTTAACATTAAAAAAGTGTATCAAAAGTATTGTCGCAGCAAATAAAATGCAGTAAAGCAACTAGAGTACATTGGCGACCGGCAAGCGTTGTAAATAACTTGGGTTGAATATTACAGCTTCCAGTTAAAAAATGGTTTATAGTAATACACACACATACATAAATAAATAAATTAATGCCTACAAGTAAAGACAATTTATACCATTTACATTTGCTACCTAGAGCGATACTTATAATAACACAATTGTAGTTGCAAAACTCTTTTTGGCATTACCTAGCGATTTAGCATAAGACCTACGTCGTAAATCTCAAAATAAAATACGTGCAAAAATGAATTGTGCTCTTAGTATTGTAAACGGGTTTTTAAACAAGGTTTGATACTCGGTTTGATAATGGGGTAACTAGATTTCGAATCGATATCGGAAAATTCGATATTCTTGGTTTCCAGAAATGATTTATATTAGGGCTGGAATCGAAACCAGTTCCCTGGAACCAGTGCAGCCTGTTAGGCATTTTTGATAGTCGTGCACAAGATGGAGAACGCGCTATTTGCGAATATTAAGAAGCTTTACGATCACAAGCTTTACGAGTGCGTTATTCCAGCGGTAATAGCCGATTATCTTCAATATAATACCACATGGCATGTAATGCAATCTAATTGGGCAGGCGAAACTGCTGAAAACCGTGCTGAAGAATGATCGCTATGTGGCCACTCTGGAGGTTGAATACCAGGTGCAGCTCTATCTAGTGAATTCGCAATACAAGGAGCGACACCATCGCGCAGCTCTGAGGAATTTTGAGGAGATTACCCACCAACGGCGACTCATGGCGCGCCACAAGTACAACTGTTTGGTGGCCATCGAAAGTTCCTATCCGGAATTCGAGGATGCGGAGCAGCGTCGCCGGGCCGCCGTGTGTTATCGTGAGATCGGGAATCCCGGCATGGCCGTATCCACTTTGCTCCAGGTGCCCGCTAAACTGCGTTCGCCGAGTATGAATCTCATGCTGGCCAGGCTGCTGCATCAAGGCAACGGATTCGGTTTCCCCAACAAGTCGGACGCCGTGCTCGCCTACAAGGAAGTGCTCCGCGAGTGCCCAATGGCTCTGCAGGTGATCGAGGCCCTTTTGCATCTGGGAGTCGATGGCAACGAGGTCAACTCGCTGGTGATGCACGGTAGTTGTCAATATACACACTTTTCCTATTATGATATTCCAAACGAATCCCAATTAGCTGCCGCGATGCCAGGCAACTTCGACTGGCTGAGCACGTGGATCAAGGCCCTCGCCCAGATGTTTGACTGCAAGCACTTGGACGCGGCCCGCACTTTCCAGACGCTGCAGGACACCACCACGCTGCGGTGCAATGAGCACCTGATGATGGCTCTGGGCAGGTGCTACTACTACCACGGCAACTACTGTCAAGCGGAGCAGCTCTTCGCGGCGGCGATTGATACCAATCCGGACAACGTGGAGGCGATCGGACTGCTGGCGGTGGTCCGTGGACAGGAGGCCAGTGATGGCAACTCGGATATGGATCGCCTGTATGCACAGGTGACCTCCGATGTCAAATACACTGCAAGTCATTGGTTTGTCCATGCTCTCATGATGTACGATTTGGAGAAATTCGAGCGGGGCTTGAATTTCGTAAATCAATGCCTTAATGCGGAGCCCCGTCACCACGAAGCCCTAATCCTGCGCGGCCGCCTGTTGATCTCGTTGGAGCGGCACAAGGAGGCGGCGGAGGCCTTTCGCACAGCACAAACTGTGGTACCATATCGCTTCGAGGTCTACAGGGGACTCTTCCACAGCTATTTGGCTCAGAAGCGATTCAAGGAGGCCCATGCCATATGCAACTGGACACTACGCATCTTTCGAAATTCGCCCAGGAGCCTAACGGTAGTGCTTTGAATCTCAATACTCGCAGAGACATGGTTTAATAGCTTTTATCGACAGATGTTTGGTCGCACGCTGTTTCATTCACCGGATCCGAAGATTAAAAAGACTGCCCGCAAGTTTGCCGAAAAGTCACTGAAGATCGATCCCAACTACACGCCGGCGGTGGCCCTAATGGCCGATATCTGTCAACTCGAGGGTGCAACCCAGACCTCCATTAAACTGCTCGAGGATCACGTTTCCCTCTTCCCGCAGGGCAATCTGTTCACCCATCTCGGCGATATACTGCGAGCTCAAAAGGAACCCATCAAGGCGCTGGAGTACTATTACAAGGCATTGGGGTGAGTTGACAGATGATAACTGACGGCAGTTATTATAAGGGCATAATATCTATATTCAACATTTCAGCAAAAATCCCAAGTGTGAGCGCACTTTGCGAGGAATCAGTTTATTGAGTAGTTCCAATTGCTTTGATAAATCGCCTGTCCTGGACGAAAGTGGCGCCATTAAGGTGGTTAACCAGCCATCCACCAATGGACTGGCCAGGCCCTGTGGCACATCGAATGCGGAATGGATGACTGACGATTGTGACGAAAACTCTCGAGAGGCATCCTCCTCACCAGCCGCAAGGACAGGTCAGGAGGGAGGCGGTGGCTCCGGAGATGGTTCCGTTTGGCACGACGTCGATGCGGAAATGTTAGCCATCGAATTTGATGGGCATTGAGTTAGGTTTTTGCTAACGTCGTATTTAATATTATATATTTTCTAGGAAATGTTTATTGTATTTTGTTAAATGTACCAAAAAAAGTTCAGATCTGTATTTAAATGTACCAAAAAAAAAGTTCAGATATATTTGTAATAAGAAAAGGTTGAGAAACTAGTTGTATAAAATGTTTGAGATTAAGTAAAAAAAAATTCATGTAAAATAAAATCTAAAGAATTTAAATAATTTAATAAACTTTTGTTATATTTCGCACCCAATTATTTATTCAAATGCGAATTTATTTATTTAAATACTGCAAAGTGCGTATTAAAGCAAGCAGATTGTGTCAGCCCTTAATCGGCGAGCGCTGTTAAAGATTAAATAACTGTAACAACAAAATTTGAAGAGGCGCAGCAAAGGGGATCTTAACCCCTTACGCAGTAAAAATTAAAATAAATAAGAATAAGCAGCATAAAACAACACTCCATTACAAGTTGTCTAGAAATAAAAGTTATTTGCCATTAAGAATTACCCCTTCCAATTGTTTTCTCTGAGCTGTTGGCACTATTACTGTTAACAACATGCCCGTAAATAAATATCTCTCAATGTTAAACTATTGCTGAGAGATTCTGCCGCCAAAATGAAAATTTGAATCAGCGAATTAAAATATATGCACAATGTATCCATGCTTGAACTACAATATTTGAATATATATTTAGAGCTTACCCGATTTAGTCCATTATTCATGCAGTCCATTATTCATGCAGTGCTTTATTAATGTTATATTTATAATTTTAATTCTGTAAAGGAATCAATAAATTAAAGAAATTATAATTATTTATCCAGCAAATGACTTGAAAGACTTTAAAAAATATATTTTACATTTAAAGTATATTCAATTTAAATTACTTGGTGTTGTGAGAATGCTTAACATAATCCCCAGACAGCGTGTTAACATGGCGCGAGAGCCTTAACAGCGACGTCGGCGTCGTCGTCGCGAGAGAGAAGCAGTGGGCGCCGGTAGAGCCTATATAAGAAACAGCGGCAACCCATTTTTTTGACATTTTTCAACCGACACCGCGCGCTGATGGTTGTGTCTCGGTTTCCGTTAGATCTTTTCGAAAATTGTCTCGAAAACATGCGTTAAATTGCGGGGAAACGATATCACACGATGATATTTGATTTCTTTCAAGAGGATATATTGTTATAATGATTGCCATATATACTCCTCACAACCCAATCGATTTTGGGCCGTGACGCGGGATTTTTTGTTTATGTTCTTATGAAACCAGTGTGCGAAAAGAAACCCTTTTTTCGAATAGAAACCGCGAAGTGAGTGAAGTGCCTTTTGAACCAATATACACGCAATATTGATATGATTTAGTAAGATATATATCAATGAGATTTTTCCCACAATTGTTATACTTGCGAACGAGAAACGAGAACGAGAAAAATAAACCCAAAATTTGCATACAAATCAATTGATTGGCGGAGCTCTGCGAAAGGTTTGTATTCAAATGTGTAATATTTTGAGAAAGACGACTTAGATGGTGCAGCATTTAGTCATTTCCTTTTCCATTTCGACGAGACCCGACAAATGGTTGAGTTGATTTAATCAGACACTATGTTTATCAGTGGAATAAAAACAAATGGGAGCGTTACACATGTTTGGCGATTGTGGATTTGTGTGTTGTGTTTTGTATGTTGCCTTATCGTTCTTTCGCTTGATAAAGCCCAGAAATATTGTCTGGCACACATGCCCTATCGAGTGGGTCACCAAAAAAACCATCCAATGTATGTACATATGCTTGTGTATGCATCATATCACCCACTTTTATCAGGCACACGCACTTGTTGATTTCGGCACTTTTTGTTGCACTTTGCCACTGCAGCTTTGTGCCAAAGTTCGTGTGTCGATTTCCTAGAACGCGTTGGGTTTGTCATGTCAACAAGAATGGCAAAGTTCCCTTGGCTTTGTTTGCTTTCCGATGACTTTCTTGTGGACGGGGGGCTTCCGCGAAATCGGCTGATGAATAAAATTAAAATCCGCTGCACACCATAAATTTGCCCCCTCGAAAATAACCCTCTCCAAATCGCTCATCCGCCCTCAAATTCTTCGGCTTACCAATTAAAAGCAATAAGGCAAAACGCTGACAGGATCGCCTTACAGATGCGGGCACAGATTTAGTTCACACTAAGGAAACTAAGGAAACTAAAACCAAAAATAAATATTCAAAGAAAAAATGCTTCTTATCAGTATTAGTCTTGCTATGTTTGTGGCTATTTTATTATTATTATTTTTAACATGCAATAGAATATAGTTTTCAAATCGAATTTTATTTTGACCTCAGCTGTGCGTGTGTCAACAAACGATTTACAGCTGTTTACGCCTGTTGGACGCGCGCAACAACAACAAGCTGAGAAAAAAGAGTGAAAGGAATATTAAATGCACTCTCTCCCTGTTTCCTCTCCGAATCCCCTAGAGAAATTACGAGAGCAGAGATCTCATGGTGAGAACTCCCGGTTCTCAAAGTCTCAGGCCGTCAGTTGTCGAACTGATAAGGAAAATGCTAAACTGATAAAGGGTGAAGCACTAACACTTTTGCACATTCACACACAGAAGCGTCAAGAGTTGCGGGACTTGAGTTCCGAAGTCCAGGGGTCTTGAGTATTGAGTTTTAAATCTGCCTTTTGGGCTGGGCCTCCATATGTTTTCCCATCGCGTATAGCGGTCGCAACGCATGCGCCTCTCCTCCCACAGTTCGCCGCATCTCTCTCGTGCGCCCCTCTCTTTCCCACTGGCACTCACGCACACTGGCGCAGAGACAGCGCTTATGGGTTTACCATAATTTCCAGAAATCAATGCACAGTGGTAGCCACAGAAACGCACATATGTACCTATGAATGTGCCCCACTTACCTCCCACTGTTGGCTTTACCTGCGATTTAATTGGCCTAGCAATTATAATGTTCGCGTTTCGATTTGAAGCATTTCTAATCCATAATCCCAATTATTAATGTAATTAAAGCCTAAGCAGTGTCAATTTATACATTGCATGGGTTTTACTTCTTGTTTATCTATAAACTGCTCTATAAGAATCTATCATCTATCATTTATAAAGCATCTATCATTTAAATAAATACCCTGTTTTTGTATTGCATGTTTGAAGAATTATATTTTTTTTAGTTGAAAATAATAGTTATTGTTGAATACTAGATCCACTGTGCCTTCGCCCTGGCGTCCAACTATTGTAATGCGTTATGCCTTCAGCTGCTTCTTTCGTTCTTTTCGCTTCTCTCCCGGAATCGGAATAGTTGGGCAAGGACTTGCGCGGAAGCTGCTGGCAAATAGGTGGAGGTGGATATTGCAACCCTGCGGTGCTGGTGCGTGTTGCGAAAAGTCTGGAGCTGAGCCACGTTAGTCTGCGGTCATATGGTCGCCCGTCGAGTTGCGGAGTTGCCGAGTTGCGGTCTCGCGGAGTCGCCTTCTCGCGCTATTTGGTGGCGTCCACGCTCCCGAACATCCTGTGCCACTATAATTCCCAATTTCCCCGTTTCCGTTTCCGTCGCTGCTCCTCGACTTGTGCTAATTCTACTTGCATACTTATTTTTTGTTGTTGTTATTGTTGTTTGGTGTTTAGTGATTTCCAGCTGTGTGCTCGGCGTGCTTCAAGTGAATGAATATTAAGAAGGGTAAAAGATTGGTGTTTTTGCATCGCTGTTGTTTTTTGTAGCACACTTACCGCTATAATAATAACGAGCTTCCTTGTCTGGCCGATACCGATTTTCGGTACCGCCTCTGCCGTCATCGCGTGCAGAAAAAGTAAGCGCAGAATTTAACGTACATTTTTAGTGGCATTGTTGTTGTTTTGGTCCGTTAGGGTGGCAACCATCGATTTGCGTGTCGCGCAGCCGAAACACAGAAATTCAAAACTCAAAATCAAATCGGCAAAAAGAGTAGACATACAATACTATATACATATATACAGGGAAACAAAAGAAATCTAATGCCCAAATAGCAATTCGATTGTCTGATTTGAGCGAGAGAGAAAGACCCAAAAATCAAACAAACAAACAAGCAAACAGACAGCACAAAATAATGATTATTATTATTATTATTATTGGAATTGGCATGGTAGTTGGAACTTATCGTTCGATCCGTCTGCAGATGAAACACACTGCAGATATATCTGTGCTGGAATGCAATGGTGTAAATCATAAACACATAAGCGCATTCAATTATAATTCCACATGCAACGACACCCCCGATAACGAATGAACACTATATAGTACCCCTTGGCTCGCCAACTCCCCCGATGTAAATATATATATGTATACATATGTGTATATATGTACAAATAGGAATTACGAGTGAACAAGCTGTGAGACAGCTCGGTTGGTCCCATTGCTTATGGGGCTTATCTGAAGTTCCACTTACAGACCGACAAATGACAAATGACGCGGCTATATGCATACATCCATATATGGATGTCCGTAACATATGTCATACGACCAGGGATAAGGTTCCAGATCCAGTTTTAAGCACTTAGGGGTAGATCAATTTATGACTGTAGAACTTTGAAGTTGAGTAGATCGATAAAGGCTTTATTCCCTCCTGACCGTAAATATAATAGTAAAGTAAAGCAAGCTAGTACTGATTTGTCATTCCAACGTTCATTGTTCTAAAGGCATGAAACTTTTGGTCAAACAAAGCTATAAGAACTGTTTGTAAGGTGTTCCAGTTTCTGCAGCAACAAAAATAGAGCAGTCTTCAAAAGATTATTTATTATATCCTGTATGGGTATGGAGTAGAGGTCCATGTTATGCTTTAAATAAATACCAACGAAAAGACACAAACGCTGAGTCATAAATCATTCTATAAACTTTCTTTGCATCGTTGGTTGTCTGGCGCTTAATTAAGGAACTTGTGAATGTTCTATGGCAATATTATTAATTTTGCCTTACTGAATTTTGCCAACATTTTCATGACTCATGGTTTTGCAGGCCACCCATCGAGGTGGCGCCTCTTTTTATTATTATTTACCAGGAGATTGAGTCACGTCAGCTGTTCTTATTAGTGAATAGTAGCCGGCAATTGGGGAAATGGCTGGGGGTGGTGGGCTGAGTTGTTAGCTGACCTTGATTACCGCATGCGCAGGCATTCGTCACGCACTCGAAAAAAGGCCGGAGATTCCCTAAAAAGGTCAGAGCAGCACTCTGCATATGTGGCATTGACCTTGCTCAATTCTTACCTGCCCATCAGACCCTCTCACCCGCTGAGCGACCTTCATGGGAAATGGTTGGGCCAAGGTTCAAGCCGAAACCAGAAACAAGAAGGTGTCAAGCCAACGCACAAAAAGATAAAGATGTATTGGTCCATATTGGCTTTTACTTCGATAGTTTCGAACGTCCAACCAATGTTATAAAGTATCAGAATGGGTTATTAATCAAAATGGTGAATACTTTAAAGCGCAGGACACACCCAAACTATTCTTTGGTGGCGGTTCCGTTTCGTTTTTCTATCGGAATCCCCGCTAGATTGCGTGCGAATTTTCGTGTATTTTGGACGTGGTGTTTTCCCAACTCTCTTGCCATTTCCGCTTGTCAGACATTTGTCAGCTTTTAGCTTATTGCCAACTTCTGTGGCAAAAGTCTATGAGCGATTGCGAAACAAGCCTACACCGATTGTGAGTCTGGGCTTTGACTTTGGTCTTGGTTTTGGGTTTCGGCTTGGGTTTGTGTTTGGGTTTGGGCTTGGAACAGGGGATTTGGATTGGGTCCGAGACTTTAGCCCACTTCAGTACGGTTCCATTTTCGTATTCATCAGCACTATTTTTTAGTCGTTTCTTTTCGCTCATTTCAACGCATATTTACGTAGGCCATTCGAGGCAAGTTAACGCCTTTATTTATTGACTTATTTGTTTAGACCACCACCTCGCGCCATCTCTCTCGCCAGTTCTCTAGTTCTCCACGATGTGTGGAACGCTCACTCACGTTCAATGACAAAAAGCAAATAAAACTCCATTTACCGTTTTCGACTTACGTCTCCGATGATGTCACACTCACTGTATCTATCGCATAACTAAAGAAAAAAGCCCAACTATCTATCTGTCTACATACATGTATGCATATTTCATTTTCAATTTCCTTTTTTCCGTTCCCAGGTTCCGGCCGCAGCTGAGGAAAACCAACAAAAGCCAACAGAAACCAACAAAAACCGAACAGAAGAACGCGCACCGAGTGAAGATATCAACGCCAGATCGGTAAGTTCATCAAAGGTCGCTGGGGGAAGTGTTAAGCAAAGGGGGGATGTACTCGTATGTGCTGGGGATGGATCGTAAAAGTCACAGAAACTTTCATTGTTATTCGAAAATTTATGGGCTGTACGGATGGCGCTGTTTTATATTAAATATAAACTTCCTGGCTTTTAAAATATTGTGTAGATTTCCACAACTATATTATATGTATTCCCAACCTAGAAAGCCCTTCAGTTCAGTGAGTAAGCAGAGTCCTGATTTCAAGAATTCTTTTTCAAATTAATCACTTTGGTTCTGGGGAAACGTGTGAATCATGTCGCTATATATGTACACACTTACGAGTAAATGCCACGGGCTCTATCAAACGCATATCTCTTGGCCATGATAAAAATATACGATCGGTTTCGTCATAGACCAAGATGGCTATATATATGTATCTATATAATATTAAGCTATATTCGTGTGAGCGCATTTTTCGGCGGATTATGTCGTAGGTCAGGGTAACTGAATGTGCGAAAGATATGCTCGTTGCGATTGGTTATGAATGGGCAGACCGCCAAAAGAATCTCTGAGTCACAAAAACACGGCGCTTCTTTGGCTGCATTTTTGAGTTTCGTCTCGTTGTCGTTTTCGTTTTTGATTTCGATTTCGGTTTCGTTATCAAGCGTTTATCAGGCACCCCAATTGGCATTCAACAACTAACGCGTATCGGGAAAACGTGGCGCGAAATTCATTCATTTCAACGATCGCCAAATGGTGACATTCGATAGCTCGGAAGTCGATTCGTCGTCGTTTGTCATATACTGCCCCCTCATTGTGAACCCCTTGATTATTTCAATATTCATGAGTATGCAATCGCTCCTAGTTCCTCAGTTCCCAAAATGGACAACCGAATCGACGTCAGGCACCCATCCCCGATCAATTTTGGACAGTTCATTTATTTATTTCGACAGGCGACAGTCGTCAGGCGGGGAGAGTAAGAGTGTGTCAAGTGATCGCCAAAGGGCCACGAAAACGGCGGTATATAACATACTAAATGCCAGGCATACAAATTGCTGGGGAAACGGAATGGATCATCGATCAGCTGGCAGTTGATCAAACACAGATAGTGGAGATGACAGGCGAAGGGATCCCAAGGTGAATGGGAAATGAAGCAGAGGTGTGCGATCCTCGAGATACATTTTTACCAGTTGTGAGGATCGTCTTTACTCAAAAAAGAAATAGCATTTCATCCTTTTGGCAGGCAGGTAACTCATTTGGGTATTTCAAAGTAGAAACAAAATAGATGATCCCCTAACAAAGGTTAAGGATAATCGTCGTTGCTCCATGCAATATGAGATATTTCATAGTGCACCCATTTGTAATCAGCTAATTGAAATGCAAAGATAATAAATCATTTTACTTGGCCATCAAAAATTCCCAAACATATATTTAAGACTTCCAGTTGAAATAAAAAGGCATTTTAATGGATCTAGTCATTTTTGTAACGATTTCTAAACGTAATTATAAAGGTTAATTTGGTTTCTCGAACACACTAGTCTGGGGTCACAAATCTCTATAATTTTTGCAAACGTTTTTATGCTTTATTTGTGATGTGCTGATCTCTCCATTCATATTTGATTCACAAACTCTTTGCGTGTTGATCGTGAGGCATTTGCCCGAGGCGATCTTTTGTCTCTTTGTCGCCACTGCTCAGTGAATTAATTGCACACAGCGTTGCAACTTGGTTGGTCCCATCTTTCGCCCCATACCGGCTCGATCTTCATCTGTAATTGCAACTGCATCTGCATCTGCATCTATATCTGCATCTTGAGGAGCAGAGTGATTCCCAGGCCCAGGCGCCTTGTAAATTTAGTTGTTCGCGCACGCAATTTGCTGCTGGCTCGCAGATGAGATGCTTGCTGTGGTCATGAACCCGCATTGTAGTTGCCATTTTATTTGTTTATTAATTGCTCAGCCCCTCTCGCCAGCGGTTGATGGATGATGTGGCTCCGTCTCCAGCTTCACATCCATCTCCATCTCCGTCTCCACAACCATTTTGAGCTCCGGCTCCATGTCGTTGGCATGTGGGTTGTGGGTGAAATGAAACCATTCAAGTTGACTGCCGCCGATGCCGTTGGCTGATGACAATGAAATGCTGAAGTTTCACTTGGATTATGCCTCAACAGTCATGGGTATTACGCAGTTTGATCTCGCATTGATCTCAAGCGATCCGCCAGGCAGAGATTTGGCAGAGATTCAGATCTTTTACGACCAAATCGGAACGATGTAGCTGCATCGGTGCATTTCAATACCCAAGTGATCTGTAGAGATCAGCAAATTAAATGATCATTTAATTAGGACCCTACATAAAATCCCTTCATCTCTGTCCGAAAACTTAACCCAACCTAATCTGCGATCATTAGAGATAATCTGTTCAGGCTGAAAAAATGTTCAAGCGATTAATAGCAAATGTTGGTATCATTAAATGAACATTTAGACCGCCACTTTTTAATGTATTCAACATCTGTTAAGAATGATCTATCCGCATCATAATGGCAGAGTTACCATCGCATTTTCGCGATCTTTAGCGATCGCCAAGCAGGCGTGAAATCATCGTTATTATGATGATTAGTTTTTTGCTCAACGGCGGGCATTATTATCAAATTAACACGGCGCTTCACAGACCCAATATAATATACATATGTACGTGTATGTATGCATGTATGTGTATAAAAGTTAGGGGTGATTTCGAGGAGTGGAAACCAAGCGGATCCGATTAAATGCCTTCGACGATTGTCGCCTATTAACGAAATCAACTCGGATGCGGGCGGTCTGATGATGGGCCTAATCAAAAATGTATTTATGAGATACACGATGGCATATTTGACATCATAAACACACACATAAGATATGTACATTTAGTGGGTCAGGGGTATCAACGGTGCGTACTTAAATCTCATTACATTTAATGGCATTTAGTCATCAAGGGTTTCATTTTGTTATGTGCACATAAGCCTGTGATTTTGCTGGAACTGTCGAAAGTTTGTCAAAAAATCTGTGGAGATCCGTTTCGATGGATATGGAATATGATGAATGGGGGCGACAAGCGATCGAATGTCCGAATGTGATCACATTTCGAATGCCGAATACCGAATACCGAATGCCAAATAGTTGCGCATGCGCATTTTTTGGCCAGTGAATTATTATGAATCGAGATGTGAGATGCGATGGGTTTGGCGACTAGAGAGACGCCAGCGAACCAAAGCAAACCGGACTGGACCAACCTGATGTACGAAAAGGTGAAGACAAATTGGGCAGCTTACATCATGAGGGGTTTTTGCACCGTCTGACAGCAAATATATATCGCCGAAAGGCCCGGCAATTAAGAATTTTTGTCTTTGGCCTGGCCTTTAAGACAAAGTTGCCTGGGTGGGCGAGAGATTTTGGTGTATGCTTTTTGCTTTTTTCGTGTGTGCTTGCTTAGCTTGTAGTTCGTTGTTTGCAGTTTGAGTGGCTGTAGTTTGTTGCTCATTAAGTTCCTCAAATGGCAGTCAAAAACTGTTGGCCGGAACCGGGCGGCGAAACCCAAGCCTGGCCAAGAATCATTATGTCAATGTCGGGTCCCCGCCTCTCTGAACCCCTAAATCTCTGAATTTCTGAATTTCTGAATCTCTGACTTCACGAACCGACATTTAATTTGCTGTTTTGGGTTACCTCATAAGTCGACTAGCCGCGACTCTCGCACTTCAGACTCGAGTTTTTGGAGGTCTATTCTCGGTGATTTTGCAATCGAGTCCGAGTGTGTCAAGTGTCGATCGCTTTGTCCTCGGCCACTTGAGCCAGGAAATCAGAAATCAAACATCAGACAAGCGAGTCTCTTGCACAGTGTTTTTTGTTGTTCTTTTTCTTTTATTCCCCGGCTAATCCCGCCCGGGATTTGAAGGACCATTTGGGGCAAAGGATGGGTTTTTGAGTTCCAAACTCAAATATCCATGACTTGGCACTCCTTTCCGGCTAAAGTGCTCATCCATCAAGGGGTGACTGCGATGTTTAGATCAAACGACCGCTCCGATTGAATCATTATGCCCATCTGATCTAACTTGATCCCATCTGATCCTCACCCCCGATCGTGGGCATCCCCGTTGTCTTGTGCATAATTTGTAACCAAATTTAGTTACTTCTTTGCTGGTTGATTGGTTTCGAGTTCTGGGTGCCATCGGGTATGGGCATGGGTATTCCCTTGCAGATCTGTGATCTTTGGGTTGCGTGTGTGGGGCCTTGCGTCTCTCGTTACTACGTTACTATCGTCTAGCTGCAGGGGATAATTTCTGTTGGCTGCGTGCTCGTCATTCCCCTGATTGGCCCGGATCGTAAAACCGAAGCGTGCCTCGTGCCCTGCCCCCTTGGGCTAAGAGATCATCCAAATTTTTTACGATCGCCTTAATGCCCGCTGACTTGGCCGCCCGCCGGAACCTCACTTTCGACCAACAACAAAAAAATAAGTCAACATCGTACCTTGATTGACCGAACGTTAGATAGATCATTTAATTTAAACTATTTATGGATATTTTATGGCGGGCGATTTCCATTTGGCCAACTTTCCATTTGACTAAATGAAACCTAAACAGCGCTTCCCCCCATCAATGGACGTCCAGTAATCGTGGGGATCATGAATGGAATTCCATTTAACGATGTGAGAATGGTGGGAAGATTACAGAGAGCAGGAAAGATTATAAAGGTGGCATTCAGTGATTGAGGTGAAGCCTCTATACAATTCTATTATGGTTTCTTGAGGGATCTGCATTGAAAAGGCAGAACATGTTGCCCAAAAAATACAAATTAAAAGCAGATTACATCTTATAGAAATTAGAAGAAAGTACTGGAAAATAAAAGGATCACTAAGAAGTTCCGCAGAGAGGTTTAAAAAAGGATTACCGAAACAGGACCTTTTAAAACGCATTGGCATATCCAAAAATTGCCGTAGATATTCAGAAAAACCCCAGAAAAAAAAAAAACCCAAAACG